ACTGAAAATGTACATTTATATAAAAAATTGCATGCCAATTTCCAATTGTACAGATTATGTAATTATTATGCAAACCAATTAGTTGATTTTTTGACTCAATTTTTTTTAGGAGGAAAAAAATGTTATTTTGAGGTTATTTGGAGTTAAAATTGTCTTGCTGAATAAGGAATTGTTATAGCTTGAAGAAATTATTGTTTATCTGGCAGTTTACAAAAGAACAAAGCTTTGAAAAAACAAAAATATGGAGCTGCTCTGAGGAGAATCCAATATTTGTGAGGAGATAACTAAATCTCTAATATAGAGAGTAAATTTGTTATGATTAAATTGAACTTTTATACCCATGTTAGTAAAAATTCTTCATATTGGGCATGTTTGTAGTATCTAATTTTAATGAGAAGCTTAATGCATTGAAAATGTTCATTTATATAAAATAATTGCAAGTTAATTTCCAATTGTACAAATTATATGATTATTACGCAAAGCAATTTGTTGATTTTTCTACTCAATAACTATCCATGAATGCCTCTAGTGACCCTTTTATCAATCAATGACCAATATTGTTGCTAGCTATGAATCTAGTTTTGTTCCTTGTACATTACATGAGTTACGAACTTGGATTCTCAAGGACAACATTGCAAAAATTAGTCGGAAGTTAGAAGAGTATAAAAGGCTTGGAAACACAAAGTTGGATAGAAAGAAAAAGGGAAAACGCTGACTAAATTCCTTGTTGATAACCCTACCAGTACATTATTCTTAAGATCTATGGCTGCATTTGATGCTGTTAAAAATGTTGAATTATAATTCCATTATTTCGATACAAGTGATTGAAGTAGTAGGAGAAAAAAACGTTGAACAAATCATGAGAGATAATGGATCCATATTAGGAGATGTTGGAAAATTAAAGATTCACTAAAGCACCCTTGCTAGGTGTATCAATTCAAGTCAGTTCAAGAGACAAGGTTTGAATTAGACCCAAAATACAGTCAAACAGAATATGCTTAACCCAAACCAAAATCATTTATTATACGGGTTGAAAAACTAGAGTCAAACTGAATCAACCAGAACACAACTCGTCTAAGTTATTATATGGGTTTGGGTCAAGTTGAACATGACCTGTTTGACCTTATTATTTTATATGTTTTTCTTTGGTTTTGGATAACCCAAGTTGAAAATGACCAGAATATGTATAAATACGCCAAGTTCTATTAAGTTTTGTTTAATGACTCGGGTTTAAGTTGACCCGAATCTACCAAAACATGAACCCAAACCATTAATTATGTGGGTAAAAAATACTAGACTAATACCCAATCTATATAATATTTGTGTCAACCAGAACTACAATTTTTTTAATTGTGTTCATTTAAAATTGTAAAATTAGATCTTAAGTTAATACAATTAACGCTTACAATTTTCCACCATACTTCTAATCCAAAAAAGTGTTTAATCCTTATATCTATGTTTTCCTTGGAGTTTGGTGTTCTAGTAAATTGGCTAAATGGCTAGAAGGAATAAAATTTAGAGCCACTATAATGCCTGATCCATATCTTTGTGGTCATCGTGTATACAGCATGAGTGTCATTCCTTTCATAAGTGTTTCGAGTGAAAATGATTAAAAAAAAGGGCTATAAATGAGTTATATTTACGAAGTGAAAAATTTGAAAAAATAAAAGATTGCTTCTAACTACTTAAATAATTAAGAGAATTATGCCAATATCTGAAAGCAAATTGACAATAAATCAACGAATAAGATTTATTAACCAATATAGACAATTGGCTTTTTAATTAAACCCTCAAATTTGCTATGAATTCAGTTTTCCTAAAGATAAAGAAGTGAAGCAAAGTTAGTTAAATACATGGAAAGAATGTTACAGTGAAGACTGCCTTAAAGCAGATGTTTGGTTGGATCTATATGACCGTTTAAGAGGTGAATTTGATGGTGAAGTTGTCATGAATTCAAAACTTTACGTAACAAATACAAGCTCATTTCTCAGCCTTAATTAAAACTCTTTACATTTATAAACTCCAGAGATCACACAAACACAATTCGTTCCTTCTGTATTGATAATGGTATTCTTCATCGAATATTACATCCCTATACATCTCACCAAAAGAATGTTGTTGAATACAAACTTCACCATTTGCTTGACGTTGCCCAAACTTTGATTCCTCAACCTTTTTGATGAGGATGCAGTTTTAACTTCAATGTTTTGGAAATGATATCGCCATCTGCATCCCAAAAAACTCATATCTTACTCCAGGGATTTTGAGTGTCTTCGATTTGCTCCATTTTTCGACCTAGCAAACTCATCATTGAGGCTATTTGCTGTATCATTTTGTGGTTTACTTATATTAAAAAAGGCTACCAATTTTTTGAACATATTACCACGGCTTTTTCCTTGAAATCTATCTATATTTTCTTTTCCATCTTTCATTATGCCATCCTCTTCTCTTATTCATATTCCTCCTATAGCTTCCCATCCCTCATCTCCACCCTTAAGTATATACATGATGAACTTGCCCTCCTACAACAACATTACTTCCACCAACTTTGTTAGAAGCGAACAACTATCCAAGTATTGATGAATTTTTTCATCTTTAATTGTTTATTACTCTTCAAAGAAAAAAAAGGTTCCATCACTTATCAGCCCATCCAATCTTATATGATTGTTGATCATCTTTCTACCTATTTTGACATTTTGACTCGTTTTTATCCTTTGTTTCTATGCCCAGAACATACCAGAAAGTCCTACAGAATAATTGGTGAAAATAAGTAATGAATAATGAAATGCACCTCCTACTAGATAGATATACATGAATCTTGTTCCCTCTCCTCATGGGATTAAGTAAGTCATCTATTGTTTGGTTTATAATATAATATTTCATCTTGCTCATACTACTGATCGCTACAAGACTAGTTTACTTGCCAAAGGGTTCGCTGAAGTTTAGGGGATTGGATATCTTGAAACCTCACCAGTTGCCAAACTCAACTCTATTCATCTTCTGTTGTTTAACAACAATAATCAGGACTGTTCCCACCTGTAAATAGGTTTGAATAATGTCCTCTTGTATGACAATCTCACTGAACACATGAATATAGAATAATTACTAAGGTATATACTTTAAGGGAAACTAAAGCATGTAAACACAAAGAAGTGGTCCACATCTAAAACATACTCCTCGAGCACGGTTTAGCAAATTTGTTAAGTTTTGTCCAAGACTAGTCTCTGAAGCAACACTTGCTATCACTCCTTTGCTTTGCCTACTTCATCAAGCTTTGTTATCTTAACTACAACTGTAGATATTATTTTACATATCGGAAGTCATGAAAAAAAAATTTAAATAAAAACTATCTACAAAATCTTTTCAAAGAAAAGGTTTGGGCCACCAAAAATATTTTTTGGAGATCCAATTCACATATAACAAATAAGATGTTTTCATGTCTTAAATGAAATATACAATTGAGTTTCTAGAAAAGAACGAGCTTTTAAGTTGCAAGCCTAATAACACTCCTATTGATTCTCCAAAGGCTAGCAAGGAAGAACGAATCTTAATGAATCTCTGAAGGTAACATTTGTTATCAAAGATAAATAGGAAGTTGAAATACTAATGATAACCCGACCAAATATCACATTCACAGTTGAAATAAGAAGTCAATTTATGCAAAATAGAAATGTTAAAGTATACTCTCATGTTGATTATGTTGGCTCAATAGAAGAAAAAAGTAAACCTCAAAATATTGTGTCTTTATTCGAGGCAAAATTGAGGTTTGAAGCAAGATAGAGCTATGATGCCTTCTACAGGTGAAATGATGAGAAAATTCTAGGAGAATTCAATGTTTCAATCACTCAATCTATGACATTATTTAAGGATAATCATAATAAGATTTGCATTAGCAATCACAAAGAATATTGAAGTAGATTGTCACTTCATTCGAAATGATGTTCTAGCTAAAAAAAAAATTAATACTCCTCATAAAACAAATTTTGATAAAGTCGCATATATCCTAGCCAAAGCTCAATATCATCTATCTTTCTCTTATTTTTGTAAAAAACTAGAGGCACTATATGCCCAAAATTGAAGAAGAGAGTTGAAGCAACGGTAGATAACTATACTAAATTGGTACTTATCAAAATATATGTTTTAAAGTCATATTAATGAGGATATAATTCCCATTTATGTGTTTACTCTTTTGTACTTGTATACCTAAAGACTCACAAGTTTTCCTCCTCTAGCAATGTTGAAAATATGATTTATAAATCATTTTGAGCAACTTTTATTTATGTAAGCTTAGGTCCACTCATTTTTCTTCTTAATCCCCTGACAATAATTTCATCAACTAGTTTAACAAGCATATTATTTATCCTTCAGTGCATGTGTACAAATGACTTACATATATTTGTAATTATCTTATATTAAGTTGATGTCACTCTTACATTTACTCCAATATGAATATTTCTTAATTTAACTTTTACAATTTTTCCATGCATCCACTTTAACATTCTCTTTTTTGTCACACTCAACTTAGATATGAATGATTTATCAAATCCATATAGCATTGCTAGCAGCTGAACTGCGATTTTATAAAATTTAAATTTAAGCCTTTATGCTATATTCTTAACACACCCTAAAGCAATTCCCCATCTAGTCACCCCACCTTAAATATTTCAAGTGAAAGGCGAAAATCAACATTTTGGTTGTTCACTAAGTGCTAGTATATAACTCAATTTTGGCAATAACAACTTTTATGGAGCTTTTCATGATTTAAGAAAAAAAATTGATGAAACAAAGAGCTAGTATATAATGCAATTTCGACAATAACAACAAGAGTAGTGCTTTTCATGATTTTCAAAAAATATTTGATGCAGATTTAAAATTATCCAAAACAATAAGTGGAGTAAAATTTTCTTAGTAAGGACACTGTAACTTGGAGCATATATATTGATCAGAAAAATTCATGCCAGAAATAGATGCAGCTATGAACTTCATCTATGGATGATTACCTGGAGAAGATTATTGAGCGCATGCAACAGACAGAACTGCAATCTCTGTCTCTCATGGTAGACACTTCCATCCTCCATACGAAAAGCCTTCATTCAAAACTACAATTGCTAGGTCCTACAAATCTCTCCCATACAAGGCCAAGCTAGCCTACAATATAATGGTAGCAAAATTAACGAAAATAAATATCATAAGAAATTGTAGCAACTAGCAACATAGGAGAGTAGTAACAAACTGAAGTTGCAACAAGGTTTTGCAGAACAAGAGGTGCTTTTCACAAATAATGCCTTTGGATTCCGCAATCAGCACGGATGAAGCAGAATAATATCAGTTTTTGAATTCTAGGGATTTGGAATGTAGGTGTTAGGGTTCGTTTCATGAAATGTTTATGCAGCAATTGGGGCTTATAACAGTAGAAAAGAATCACCTGAGAATGGAGGAAGATAAAGCTCGGCTCTCTCAGATAGAGAGGCTGCTCGAGCGACAAACCGAAACTGTGGAGATTAGGGAATGAAAGTTGTGAAAAGAGGATGCCGGATGAAAGGGAAGTCCCCGTCCCGGTCCCAGGCTGATATCCTTATCAACAAAATAAAAATACTAATAATAAATCTCTTCCATCTCAACATTTTATATATATAATCTTTGTATATGCAAGAGAAGTCCCCGTCCCGGTCCCGAAAAAATATTAAATCAGTACTAGCACGCATTTAAAAACTAAACTTACTTAGCTAATCAAATCACGTCACCACATCTTGTGTGATAGAGTAAAAAAAAACGGCACAATAATATGGGGAATATTTTCCCTTATATTATTAATGTGTTATTGCGCGTTATTCATGTGTTATTGTGTTATTATAACATCAATGTGTGTGTATTTATGTATGTGTGTGTGTATGTATATGTATGTATGTATGTTTATACATACATACATATATATCTATATATATATGTCTATACATGCATACATACACACACATACACACACACACATACACACACACACTGACACAATAAAAAGTGAATAACACACAATAACACTTGAATAACACAGAAATGTATGCATGCATGCATGCATGCATGCATGTGTGTGTATATGTGTGTGTATGTATGTATGTATGCATGTGTGTGTGTGTGAATGTATGTATGCATGCATGCATGTGTGTGTGTCTATATATATATATATATACATACATATATGTATACAAATATATATATATATATATACATACATATGTATGCATGTATATATACATACATATATATGTATACATCCATACATCTATAGGTATGTCAGAGGCTATTATACGACTGTGTCGCACAGGTATCGTGGCGTGATTTCATTGGTTACGCACTTTACTCTACGTGCGTAGTACTGATGTAATATTTTTTCCCCGATCCCAGGCTGATATCCTTATCAACAAACTAAAAATACTAATAATAAATCTCTTCGTTCTCAACATTTTATGTATATAATCTATGTATATGTATGTATGTATGTACGTATGTATGTGTATATGTATGTATGTATGTATTTATGTGTATGTATGTATGTGTGTATGTATGTGTATGTATGTATGTATGTATGTATGTATGTGTGTGTATGTATGTATATAAGCTTAGTTAATTAATTAAGACTTATTACAATAATTAATATTAAAGTGTGATATAGTAATTTCAATAATAATATAAATTCTTCTATTTTGAAATAATAAACTTTAATGAGTTTTAGTTTCTTTGTTCATTAAATGAACTGCAATTGTATTCTTTATTGAATGCATGAAATTGTGATGTCAATGTTTATCTCCTTTGTGATGGGTGAATAAAATTAAATTTGGAGAATTTAATATTTATTTATTAAAGAGGCCACTATAACATATATAATCCCACCTATATTGGACATTATAATAAAAGTATTAGTTTTGTTTTTGGTAAATGATCTTGGGATTTGTTCGCAAGCCTACTTATGATTGAATTCTTGACCAATTTTCAAAATGCCTATGAGATTTAACTCTTCTTTAAACTTTAGATGCTAAGTAACATTTTTTTTATGAAAATTATTTATTTAAATATTTATTATTATATGATGATAATTATTTATTTTAAAATATATTACAAATATAATAAGTGCAAATTGTGCACTTTTGAACATATTGTATATAAAATATTGTTGATAATATTTTATATATCAAAATTAAATTTTAAGTTATTCATGATGTCTATTTAAATAATTAATCTAATTACGAAATACATTAATACATTTTTATTTTGTAAATCAACAATTGTGGAGATTACCGGATGAAATTAAGCATTGGCATATAACATCATTATCATAAGCAAATTACCTCAAAAATGTACACTTAAAAACAGTGCATTGACACTTATGGCCCATTTGGCATAGTTTTCGGCGGCATGGCCCCAAAACTTTGGAGACTTTGTTATCCTCTTTGGTGGGGAGAGCTTCTTCATCACTTTGGAGAAGACAAAATTCGGTGGCCTCGTCACTCTCTCCGACGAGGAGAGCTTCTTCATATGAGAGATGCTTCGATCAACCATCGCGTGGGTGAAATTTCTCAATCTCTTGCAATTTTTCATTCCAATAACCCCCTACTTCTAAATGTTAGAGAAATTAGGTTAAGATTTTTGTGGTCCTAGAGGAAGCCGCATAGGATTAGGTACTTTGCATTCTCCCTGGTGAATCTAAAGAGAGGAACCTATCTTTTTTGTTTTAGACTAAAATCTAAAAGTCATGGTTGTATTAGTCTCATTGTTCAACTCGCTTATTTCATCCGGATGGATGTTTTAATCCACCGACCAAAAAGAAGAGGGCATTCCTTCAATCATCATCTTTTCGGTCACGGAGAATCCGCCTTGTGAGGGATTCCCCATCTAGCACCTCTCAATCGTTTCACCCTAGATTTTCCATGAGTTTGCTATGATGAGCACGATTCGTCGTCGGGCCTAATCGGGGCTCATGTTGCAACTGGTCGACGCCGCCACGAGTCCGAATGTATCAATTTACCATCCTTCGTCGATCAGCCGCTCACACCAGCCTGGTCGACCACCCTTGGTTTGCTAGACTGATTGGCCGCCACTTGCCCAATCGTATCAATTGACTATTTCTAGTCAATCGAACTTCCAGCTGGCCCGCTCGATTACCTTCGACCTTCGTTGGCCGGCAACACACTTCAAACCTGATCAATTAGTCGATCATTTCCATTTGGTCAGCTGTATTTGTGCATAGTTTCTTTACATTCCCCGCATTAGCTGCCACTTGCCCAATCGTATCAATTGACTATTTCTCGTCAATCGGACTTCCAGCTGGCCCGATCGATTACCTTCGACCTTTGTTGGTCGGCAACACACTTCAAACCTGATCAGTTAGTCGATCATTTCCATTTGGTCAGCTGCATTTGTGCATAGTTTCTTTACATTCCCCGCATTAG